TTCTCCAGGAGACTCTAGTCTCTGTCCACAGTCCTAGAATCCTCCCCTGTTCATGGTCAGGAATTTGAGAGAAAACCTTGCTATGTTTCACATGGTGGTTCCCAGTCAACACAGCACATTCTAGGCCTGGAAAATCAGAACCACGTTGGGGGTGGGGGAGTGGGAATGACTCCCTGCAGACCATTCTGATGACTAGCTGAGTGTGCCATCACCCTATTCTACCAGAGCTGGCCAGAGTAGGGCTCCCAGCATCTTTGGTCCCACTTCTCCATGTTTCTATCATTACTGGACAAAAAGCTGGTGAACCTGCTGGACAGAGCACCAGGACTCAAGGACTTGATTCGAAGAAAGACCTTCCTAGACAAGTCTTCCCAGCCCCTCATGCTTCCACCAAAATTAAGTTCTTGAAAAAAGTCCTTGAAAAAAGATGGCCGGGCTGGGCTTGCCAATAACTGGGGATTGAGCTCCCAGTTCTGAATTAAGGCAGAGGATTAATTAAGGCCTATTGCACCCAAGTCAGACTCATGAAAATTAACAAGCCTTCATGTTAATCCATCAAAAGATGGCATTATTTTGCATAGGTACGGCAAGAGATATCCCATTGTAGAGAACTAACCAGTAGGAGGCGCAGTGAACTCTTCTTACTTGGGTGGAGCATTTCATTCAAGATCTGGTCCTTAATGAACCACACCCGCCATATTTTTTAAGACCTCATTTTTTAGAGCAGTTTTAGGTTCATAGCAAAATTGAGAGGAAGGCATAGATATTTCCCATATACCCCCTGTCCCCACACATGCAGAACCTCCCCTGTTATCAAATGACCCCGGCCCAGTGGGACATTTGATGCAATTGAAGAACCTACATTGACACATTGTTATCATCCAAAGTTCATACTTTGCCTCAGGGTTCACTCTTGGGGTTGTACATTCTATGGGTTTGGACACATGTATAATGATCTATATCTCCCACCATAGTAGCATACAAAGTATTTCACTGCCATAAAAATCCTCCGCAAGTCACCTATTCATTCTTCCCTCTCCCAGTCCCTGGAAATAGCTGACCTCTTTACTGTCTCCATACTTTTGTCTTTTCCAGAATGTCATATACATAGCACACACATACACATAGCACACAGCCTTCTCACGTTGGCTTCTTTTACTCAGGAATATGCATTTAAATTTCCTCCCATCTTTTCATGGCTGGATAGGTCATTTCTTTTTAGAATGGAGTAATATTTCATTGCCTGGATGTGCCATGTTTATTTATCCATCCACCTACTGAAGGACACCCTGGTTGCTTCCAAGTTTGGGCAATTATGGATAATGCTACTATAAACATCTGTGTGCAGAGCTTTGTGCGGACATAAGTTTGTTTGTTCTTTTAAGTAGGCTCTATGCTCAACGTGGGGGTTGAACTCACAACCCTGAGATAAAGAGTCACATGTTCTACCGATTGAGCCAGCCAGGCGCCCTTGTGTGAACACAAGTTCTTAACTCCTCTGTGTAAACAGCGAAGAGCATGATTGCTGGGTCACACAGTAAGAATACATTTAGTTTTCTAAGAAACCACCAACTGTCTTTGAAAGTGGCTGCAGCATTTTACTCCCACTGGCAACGTATGAGAGTTCCTGTTGCTCCACATCCTCACTAGCATTTGATGTTGTCAGTGTTTCAGATCTTAGCCATTCAAATAGGTATAAATAGGCATAAAGTAAAATTCATTATTTTATTTTGCATTTCCCAGATGACATATAATATAATCTTTTCATGCACTTATTTGCCATCCATACATCTTTATAAGGTGTCTGTTAGGGTCTTTTGCATATGTATTTAGTTCTTTTATTTCTTTCAGCAGAGTTTTATAGCTTTCCTCATGCATTTCTTACACATATTTTGTTAGGTTTATACCTAGGTATTTCATCTGGGGGATACCACTAGAAATGGTATTTTTATTTTCAAATTCCACTTGCTTGTTGCTAATAGATAGGAAGGCAATTGACTTTTGTATATGAACCTTGTATCCTGAAACTTTACTATAATAGCTTCATATTTCTAACAGTCTTTTAGTCGATTCTTTCAGATTTTATACATAGATGGTCAGGTCATCTGGGAAGAAAAATAATTTTATTTCTTCCTTTACAATCTGTATATCTTATATTACCTTTTCTTGTCCTATTGCATTAGCTAGAACTTCCAGAACAATGTTGAAAAGGAGTGCTAAGAGGGAACATCCCTCCCTTATTTCTGATCTCAGTGGGAAAGTTTCTAGATTCTCACCATTAAGTGTGATGTTAACTGCAGATTTTTTTGAAAGATATTCTTTAACAAGTTGAGGAATTTCCCTTCTATTTCTGGTTGAGAGTTTTTGTCATGAATGGGTATTGGATTTTGTCAAATGCTTTTCCTGCATCTACTAATAATCATGTGATTTTTTCTTCTTTAGTCTGTTTGATGTGATGGATTACATTAATTGATTTTCAAATGTTGAGCCAACCTTGTATACTTGGGATAAATCCCACTTGGTCGTGGTGTATAATTCCTTTTATACATTGTTGGATTCAATTTGCTAATACTTTGTTGAGGATTTTTGCATCTATGTTCGTGAAAGACATTGGTCTGTGGTTTTGGGTTTTTTGTTTTGTTTCTGTAATGTGTTTGTCTGATTACAGTAATGGATTAATGCTGGCCTCACAGAGTTAGGAAGTATTCCCTCTGCTTCTATCTTTTGAAAAAGATTATAGAGAACTGGTACCATTTCTTCCTTAAATGTTTGGTAGAATTCATTTCACCAGCAAACCCATCTGGGCTGCTTTGTTTTGGAAGGTTAATTATTGATTTGAAGGTTAATTAATGATTGGTTAATTATTGATTTCCTTAATAGGTACAGGCCTATTCAAATCATCTGTTCCTTCTTATACGGGTATTTGCAGATTGTACCTTTCAAGGAATTGGCCCATTTCATCTAGGTTATCAAATTTGTGGGTATAGAGTGACTAATATTCCTTTACTATTCTTTTAATGTCCACAGGATCTATGGTGATGTATTCGCTTTCATTTCTGATATTAATAATTCGTATCCTTTCTCTTTTTCTTAGTTAACCTGACTCTAGGCTTGTAAATTTATCTTTTCAAAGAACCAGCTTTTGGTTTTGTGGACTCTGATATACTTTTTCAATTTCATTGGTTTCTGCTCTAATTTTGGGGATTTCTTCTTTCTTTGATTTGCTCTTTTTTCTAGTTTCCTAGGAAGCTTAGATAACTGATTGTAGATGTTCCTGCTCATCTAATGTGTGCATTCAATGCTATAAATTTCCCTGTAAGCACTGCTTTTGCTGAGTCCCACAAATTTTGGTTAAGTTGTGTTGTATTTTTAGTTTGAAATACTTTTTCATTTCTCTGGAGATTTCTTCTTTGCCCCATGTTATGTAGAAGTGTATTGTTTAAATCTCCAAGTATTTTGGGATTTTCTGCTATCTATTTTTAGTTTCCAGTTTAATTTCATTATAATCTCAGAGCTGGCATCATATGATTTCTACCTTTTGCCAGATCTTTTATCTTTGAAATAAAGCCTGCTCCCTGTTGACTAGTGAGTTTGGAAAAGCTGGGGTGGGGTGGGGAATGCTAGCTCATCTCTTTACTTGCACAGTTAGTAGTGTGAGCTTAGAAAAGTCACCCGACCTCTCTGGATTTATTTATTCATTGGCATAATATAGGAGTTGGAAATTATCGGTCTAGTGTGTTCTGGCTCCACATTGTGTGCAAGTGGAGAACAGAGGGACCAGGAAAAGAAAAAAAATCAAGTACAAACAGGAATTACCATGTGATAAAAATAGCATCACTAATAGTTGGAGAGAAAGATTCTTCAATAAATGAACCAGGTATATAATATGATCACCCTGCTCACAGAAAACAACACTTCAGTAGATTTTCATCCAGCTAAAAGAGACTCAGGGGTGCCTGGCTGACTCAGTCAGCAGAACATGCAACTCTTGATCTCAGGGTTCTGAGTTCGAGCCCCATGTTGGGTGTAGAGATTACTTAAAAAATCTTTAAAAAAAAAAAAAAGAAGAAGAAGAAGTCTAAGGTGGATCTCACTGGGCTAAAATCGAGGTGTTGGCAGGGCTGATTTCTTCTGGGAGCTGAGTGGAAAGAACCCATTTTCTTGCCTTTTTCAGCTTCTGGAGGTTTCCTACACTCATTGGCTTATGGTTCCTGTGTCCATCTTAAAGATTATCCAAGATAATCTCCCCCAACTCAAGGTCCTTACATTCATCATCTGCAAAGTCCCTTTTGTCATATAAGGTAACATTCACAGGGTTTGGGGATCAGAATGTGAACATATTTAGGGGGCCACACTCACCTTGACACATTGGGCACACCCAGATAATTCAGGATAGTCTATTTGAAGGTCTGTCAACCTTATCATATCTGCAAAATCCCTCTGGCCTTGTACCATAACATCAAGTTTCCAGGGGCCTTTGTGTGGACTTCGGGGACCACCGTGCTCCCCATATTTCCACCATCAAGAAAGCAAGATGCAGAGCGCTACAGGTTTTAAGCCATCATCCTGTGTTAAAAGACCGAAGCAAGAGAGAAAATAAATGTGTTTGCTTGTTAATGTGTAGAACACTGCGGGCAAGAACCTGCCAGGAACTGGTAACCGTGGTTTTGTCTGGGGGAGGGGGCTGGGGGGGGGACTGGAGGGGGAAGCCAGAGGTGTGAGGAAGAGTCCATTCTTACTGCACCATTTCAATTTTGCTATGAGGCATAGAATGCTTATTCAAAAATTAACTGTTTGGGGTGTCTGGGTGGTTCAGTCGGTTAAGCATCTGCCTTTGGCTCAGGTCATAATCCCAGGATCTGAGAAATCAAGCCCCACATTGGGCTCTCTACTCAGCAGGGAGCCTGCCTCTCCCTCTGCCTGCCGCTCCCCCTGCTTGCGCGCTCTGTCAAATAAATAAATAAAATCTTAAAAAAAAAAATTTAACTGTTTATGGGGGCGCCTGGCTGGCTCAGTTGGAAGAGCATACGACTCTTGATCTTGGGGCCATGGGTTCAAGCCCCATGTTGGGTGCAGAGATTATTAAAAGATAAACTTAAATATTCTAAAAGACATTATTGGGAACATTTAAGAACTTTTAACTGTTTATGAGTGAAAGGCCAAGAAGTCTGCATGTAATATTGGCAGCTAGTGAAGAATGAGGGAAAAGAAACACAAAAGGCATTTGGATGTCTTACAGGAAAGATGGAAGGCAGGTAAGCACCAGGGATGCAAAACTCTTAACAGTGTAATAATGTCAAGGGCAAAGACCGCCCTTCCCTCTGTATCCCTCATTGCGGGATCAGTTGTGATGAGAAATCAGCTCTTCTGAGTTGCCATGCAGGCATGTGACCAAGGACAACCCAGCTCACACCCAGTATCTGCACATTTAAGATGAGAACGCCAGCTTAGGATTCCTGCCCCAAGTTCCCACCCTGCTTTCCGGGGGTGGGGGGCACCTTTTACAATAACCACTTAGAGTTGAGCACTTGAAAAATCAGGGTCCTCCTTAAGTCACGGGTGCAGACTACCCTGCTCTCCATCCCCCGCTCCCTCATAACCTGGAGCAGAGGACTGCCCATCCCCCAACTCACTGGGGCCCCACCCCATTTCTTTCCATAATAAATCTTGTGACCCTGCTTCCTTTGTGCGGGTGTATTGAAACTACGTCTTCAATGAAAATGACTCTGTGGGTTTCACTTCCCCGAGGCAGGGGCTCTGATGGGTAGAGAACCACCTGCCCACGGCCCCCACGTGGGTGGCTGGCCCCTCATCATTCAGCCGGTTGGTTGTCCTGCCTACTGTTCATTTCACACACCAGCTACAGGTCTCCCAATACAGGCTCCGTTTCACAAATCGAAGACCAAGGACCCATTCCGCGGCTCTCAGGTGTGGAGCATCGAGTTAAAGCAGCCAGCCTAAAATGACCCCTTAACCCTTCAATCACTCAATGTGATGGGGTAAGTGGGACACCCTCCTGCTCCTCTCCCCCCACCCCCGCCCCTGGGGAACGGGGCACCCCATGAGGTTCAGGTGGATCAGCCCAGACGTGGGGAGTCTTCTCGCCATTGGGAGATTCCCAAAACAAAAGGCTGTGGTTGTTTTATGGACCCTGAGTGGAGGGAGATGGGGAAAGAGTGGGAAGCAGTGAGCCCTGCGATCAGCCTGAGAAATCACACACAGGGTCTTCAGCAGGCGCTGGCCTCCTCAGCATCCTTATCGAGGGTCTGCTGGAGCAAGATAGTTCCCTGCCCGCACCTGGTCCTGGAGCGGGGCATCCATACCTCTGGTTTGCCCAGGACTGCCCCCACTCACACCTGCCGCCTTGTACAACCACCAACAGTGACCCCTTTCATCCTTGAAAGTTCCTACCTTGGTTTGCCACAATAAAAAAAAAAGAAAGAAAAGAAAAATCTTCAAAGAACACAGAGTAAAACTGTCTAACAAGCCATCATTTTACTAACAAATAGCTCACAGCTGATTCTTTTTTGAACGGCGGCGGCCAGTACAGCAAGTCGCCATTTCACAACCATGAATTTTGTAGCAAAAGGTTGCCATTTGATGGAGAAATAAAATGTGGTCTATCCGCACAGCAGAAGCCTTCCTGACACCTGCTACAACATGGATGAAACTCGGAGACATTATGCTAAGTGGAAAAAAAAAAAAAAAAGCCAGACACAGAAAACCACACACTGTATGAAATACCCGGAAGGAGCAAACCCATAGAGATGAAGTAGATTAGTAGGGGCTTAGGGCTGGTGGGGGTTTGGGGAGAGATTGGGGGTTGGCAACTGTAAGGTATGGGGTCTCTTTTTGGGGTGATGAAAATGTTGTAAAATTGATTATGGTGATAGTTGCAAAATTCTATGAATGAATATACCCCCAAAAAACCCCATAGATCGTACACTTAAAATGGGCAGATTCTATCTCCATAAAATAAAGCTCCCCCCTCCCCGCAATAAAGCTCTTACCTTGAAACCCTTTGTCCGTGGCTGTCTACAGAGGAGATCCCACAGGGGAGTCTCAACACTTCTTCCGTGTTCAGAAGACTGCCTCTCCCAGCCCCTTCTCCCCACTCAGACACCCACCAGCCACCTCGCCTGGGCGTCTGTTATATCGTCCACACCTGCTTGCAACCCCACCTCCTCCAAACCTGGTACACCTGTCCGGTATTCTATTCACACCGGTTGCTGGGGCCTGCAAGGTAATCAACGAGCTCCTGTGAGGACTAGAACCCACGTCCAAGCGTGTATTTGTTCCTGCTTCGAGGGAATGGGCTCCGTTAATCACGACCCGAGGATGAAACACCTCGCCTGAGGTCCGTGAATGCCAGAGACATTCTCATGATGGCTTTGCAGGCTGAGGAGGAAGGCGGCCACTCACTCCTGGCAGCAGATGGGGGAAAGGAGACCCAGGCAGTCAGTTCTTGTGGCTGAGTCTCACCTGCTTGGCTCTTCTGATCCTGCTCATCAAAGCTGAACGCTGCCTGGTCCTAATGGAGACTGACTACCTGGTGCTGAGCATGTGTCTTGAGAAGTTCCCTAGCTTGACCCTGATAGGCCAAGACAGCCGGCCCCTGCCATATTCCAGCATGTTCTGGCATGTACCAGTACTTTCTGGAATATTCCATAGCCTTCCCCTGGACCCACCTATTCCACAGCACAGGCTTTTAGAGCCAGGAGGATCAGCCTGCCTCTTTTTCGAGAGGAGAGGAACTTGGCCCAGGGAAGTTTAAATGACTTGCCCCAACCGCACTGCAGACCGTAGGTGTCTCAGGCACAGTTCTTGATGGAACTGCTGCTTTCAGTTCTTCTTCCTTCTGAAGGTCAGCAAGCCTGGACTGCCCCCTTCCCCTGCACTGTCCTGGTTCCAAAGTACGGAGGGCCGGCCCTCAAATTCTACCTTGTGCTTTACCAATATTATTTAATTACATGTTATACTCTTATTATACTTGTTAATGGTTATGATCTCATTTAGATAGCCCTTCTTTTTTAAGATTTTATTTATTTATTTATTTATTTATTTATTTATTTATTTATTTATTTATTTATGAGAGAAAGAGAGTGAGCATGGGAAAGAGCAGAGGGAGAGGGACAAACACACTCCCTGCTGAGTGCAGAGCCCACTGTGGGGCTCGATCCCACGACCCTAAGATCACGACCTGAGCTGAAATCAAGAGCTGGACATGCTTAACCGACTGAGCCACCCAGGCGCCTCGAGATATCCTTCTGATTTACCCTGCACGCACAATTCACTCTGGCCCCGTTTTACCGACTGTCACAGGAAATCACACACACGGGCACATTTTGCATGAGGGTAAAACTCACCTGGCCTACAACGAAGCATTTTCAAGTGAACAATTCAGTGGCATTTAATACACTCACAGTGTTGCACGACCACCACCTCTGTCTAGTTAAAGACCTTTTCATCCATCCCAGAGGAGACCCCGTACCTGTGAGGCAGCCACTCCCCCGTCCCTCCGGATGCGGGCAACCAGCAATGTCTAGAGGCGTTTTTGGTTGTCACAACTGGGGCATGTGCTGTGGGCATCTGATGAGTGGAGGCCACGGATGCTGCCCCACCCCCTTCAATGCACGGGACAGCCCCCCGCCCCCCAACAAGGGATGATCTGGACCAGGCTTCCAAGAGTGTCCTCCATTCCTCACCTGATCTGATTCCACGTTGCAGTATGTCCCAAACTCAGCTGTCATTAGGAACCACGTGTGCTTTTTTATTTAAGATTTTATTTACTTATTTATTTGAGAGAGAGAGTGAGCTGGGAGAGGGGCAGAGGTAGAGAATTTCAAGCAGATTCCCCACTAAGCGAGGAGCCCGATATGGGGCTCTGTCTCACGACCCTGAGATCATGACCTGAGCCGAAATCAAGAGTGGGACATTCAACAGACTGAGCCACCCAGGCGCCCCAGAAACCACCCATGGTTTTTTTTTAAAAATACATACTCCTGAGCCCCTCCCGGGCCTTCTGAATCTGAATCTCCAGGCAATAGGCCCAGGGATCTGTAGTTTGGCAAGCATGAGGTGAATTTCAGGACCAGAAGTCTCTCTGTTATGGATTGTTCAGTGGTCCCTGGTAAATCACTTGTTCTGTGTCTCCATTACTCTATCTGTAAAATGGGGATGAAGTTTTTCCTTTCCATCTGGAAGCATTCTTGGCAGGATTGGTGAAGACAATATGCAAAGAAGCGTTAGTACACAAGATAACCTTATAACATGCAAAGCAATCCTAAAATGATAACGTTCTTGTTTAAAATCCCAGGAGCAGGGCGCCTGGGTGGCTCTGTCGTTAAGCGTCTGCCTTCAGCTCAGGTCATGATTCCAGGGTCCTGGGATCAAGTCCCTGCATTGGGAATCCCTGCTCAGCGGGGAGTCTGCTTCTCCCTCTCCCTCTGCCCCTCCTCATGCTCATGAGCACGCTCACACTCACTCTCTCTCTCTCAAATAAATAAGAGCAGGGAGACTGCGTCTCTGTTTGCTGCTGTGTCCCTGGACCATGCTACACATCCAGTAAGCACTCCTTGAAGGAAAGAGGCACAATCGAGTCTGTCACATCAATGATAGAGCTTTGAAATGAAAACCAAACCCCAGACCAGACTCTGCAACTCGGGGGCACACGGGAGCCCCATGCAGACATCCCTGGGCTCCTCCCTCCATAAAAATATATTCCAAAGGGTATTTTGGGGAGCCTGGGTGGCTCAGTTGGTTAAGCATCCAACTCTTGGTTTCGGCCCAGGTCTTGATCTCAGGGTCGTGAGATCGAGCCCCACGTTGTTGAGCTCCTCGCTCAGCAAGGAGTCTGCTTGTCCCTCTCCTTCTGCTCCTCCCCCTGTGCTCACTCTCTCTCTCTAAAATAAATAAATAAAATCTTTTAAAAAGTTAACAAATTAATTAATTTTAAAACGCAATAAAGCAGGGGAAAGTTAACCAGTGCAACCACAAAGAAAGGCTCTCAGCGATATGGGGCAAGAATCCTATAATTCCATGGTCCAGATGCCAACTGACAAACATACCATGAT